ACAAGGTAGTAACGATCCAAATATTCATCAGCCGATGAAGGCATAAACAAATGTCGTCTCTCCAAACAGCTTATCATTCAGTCATCAACAGGAGTGAAGGACTGGGCCGTCGGTGACTCAAAAACCCCACACTGAGTGAAGGCAGGCAGAGACAACAGATGGCATCTAATATTCCACTTACGTGAAACATCCAGAATAAGCAAATCCAGATAGAAAGCACAGAGTGGCTGCCTCTGGGATGGAGGAGAGGAAAAGGGGAGGGACAGCTGATGGGCAGGGGGCTTTCCTCGGGATGGAATGTTCCAGAATTAGATGGAGGTGATGGTGACGCAGCACTCCAAATGTACTAAAGGCCACTGAATTCTATGCCTTAAGATGGTTAGTTTTATGCTATGTGAGTTGCATTTCAATATTTAAGAATCTCAAATCACTCTCAAAAACAATTCACCACCTGTCCTTGGCCAGTAGAGCTGCATACTCACCAGGCCCGGTTCAAAACCTGCCACTTGTCCCTGGGAGGCATCTGCGGGTGGGCAACTCCTCCTGAGGCGCTTGGGGCCAGCGGTGCCCTAGGGCTGGGCCCCTGAACCAAGGGAAAGGTCTCCCCTGCAGCCTACCATGCTCAGAACCGGAGCACAAGGCATTTGCACTACGAAGCATCACCGGGCCATGTTCAAAGCTGTTACTTCTGACTCTCCACTGACACACAGCTGTCACCCTTGACCAGGTGCTGTAACAGGGTACGCTCTGTGTAGAGGGCTTTACAAGGACCTCAGCTCAGACTCAGCAATCCTGGGAGGGAGGGGCTGTCCACAGCTTCATGTTAGAAAAGGACAAAGAGGTCTGAACTGGAAGGCTGGAAGACATCCAGAGGAGGGGTGCTGAGGCCGAGGAGAGCGCTGGCAGGGATTTTCCTGCAGTCACCACCCTAGGAACAGGCTTTGCCGAGGCCACACAGCTGGTAAGTGGCAGGCAGAGTCAAGTCACCTGCCAGCCCCACAGCCCGTGTGCTGGAAGGCCTACACACTGTCACCTGGCCTCTGAGGACATCTGGCTGGAAGGTGACATCCCAGCTTCTACCACTGTGATTATATGAGTGTGTCCTTGCATTATGATAATTTGCACACAGTCATGGGAGGATCACATCAACCTGTCATAGAATCAAGATAGAAGCCTTTGTCCTGAGTAATGACATTCAGTTACCCCTTAAAGAGCCCCAGCATCACTGCTTAGCACTGAATGCAGTGCCCTTGCCTCCTGAGGTGCTTGCCTGCTTTGGGACGAGTCCTCAACCTCCTCATACTTCCCTTTTCCCCTTGGCTCCCAGGAAACTCAGGTACCCCTTGCCAATCACAACCTTGGTCTTCTGGGAATAAAGCTACATTGCTTGGGTTTCCATTGTGTGCGAGGTATCCCATCAACTACTCTGGATCCATCATCGCCTTTAATCCTCACAAGAGACCTGCTTCGTACTGAGTAAGCCTGCTCCATTTTGCTGGTAGGGAAACTGATTCTGCAAAAAGGTTCACACACTTCCCAAGACTATGAGAGATCAAATGGCAGAGCCAGTGTTCAAAACCAACCGTCCAACTCCAAAGCCACTTCACACACAGTCTTCTTTGATGGCATGACCCTCACCCCGCCACACTTTGATATCTCAGGACTCTCCATAAATAGTACTAGCACAGCCCCAGCCTTCCTGGCCAGGGCCACAGAGCCTGACAGAAGCAGACAGGTATAAATAAGAAATGAATGACTATTCAGTCTCACCTCTCACTCCAGGGTGATCAATTCTCCATTACAGCAATCTGGGCTCAGTGCAGTGGCTCACGCCTGTGATTACAACACTCTGGGAGGCCGAGGTGGGAGGACTGCTTGAGGCCAGGAGTTCATGACCAGCCTCGGCAGAGTAAGACCCTGACTCTACAAAAAAATATACAAAAATTAGCTGGGCATGGTGGTCCCAGCTACTCAGGAGGCTGAGGCAGGAGGATTGCTTGAGCCTGGGAGTTGGAGGCTGCAGTGAACCGTGATAGTGCCACCACTGCACTGTAGCCTGAGTAACACAGTGACACCCTCTCCCCGCAAGAAAATAAATAAATAAAAATAAGGCCTGGCACAGTGGCTCACACCTGTAATCCCAGTACTTTGGGAGGCCGAGGAAGGCAGATCACCTGAGGTCAGGAGTTCGAGACCAGCCTGGTCAACATAGCAAAACCCCATCTCTACTAAAAATACAAAAATTAGCCAAGTGTGGTGGCGGGTGCCTATAATCCCAGGCTGAGGCAGGAGAATTGCTTGAACCCAGGAGGGGGAGACTGCAGTGAACCGAGATCGCGCCACTGCACTCCAGCCTGGCAACAGAGTGAGACTCCATCAAAAAATAAAAATAAAAACAGAGCAATCTGCCCGCACATGTTCCAATTCCCAAGGCCCTTGCCTGGGAAGATGCTGTGGCCCTTGAACATAGGGTGTGACAGATCACGGTGGGGTTGGTCAGACACTGAAGAAGGGTCCTGGGTACCCTCCCAACACCCCCACAGGGTCAGAGTCTACACCTGCAGCCACACTTCCCCCATCCCCCAGCAGCCAGGCTACAGGAGCCCCAGGGCCAGGCACCTATTCCCACCCCCTGCCCCCCAACTCTGGTGTCTCCTCAGCGTGGCATGTAGAGTGGGAAGGAAAAGAATTTAACCCCAAATGAGTTCTGATCTGATCTCTGTACCTTGCAGGACACGCAGCCTGGATTTTTCCAAGCCTCAGTTGCCTAACCTGTAAAATGGGCACGTCTAGAAACATTATGCTAGGTCCAAGGAGGCACACACAAAGGCCCATGTACATGTGAGGCTGTTCAGAGAGCGTGCCTGTAAGAGGCAAATCCAGAGACTAAGCGCAGCTGCACGGATGCTGGGAGCGGAGGGAGGGACAAATTGGGGTGACTGGTAATGGGCACTGAGTTTCTTCTGAGGGTGACGAAAATGGACTAGAATTAGTGGGGCAGCTACACAGCTCTGTGAGCACACTAAAAACCACTGGATTGTACACTTTAAAGAAGTGAGTCTTTATGATATACACCTTCTATCTCAATTTTGAAAATTCATGCATGTGGATAAGCTGAAAAAAAATACAGACCAGTCACCAGCAGCCTTGCACCGTCACGTACATCATACCACGTGACAGCAGGAAGCGCCCGGCCTACTGCCTACCCTGAGGAAGGCATCCTCAGATGTCAGTCCCACCCTCCCCTGACTCTGGCCCTGCTGGCTTCTAGGAGGACATCCCAAGGCAGAGAAGCGTGGCCTGAATTGAATCTAGCAAGCGGGGCCTGTGCAGGGTCAGTGCCAGGGAGGACGCAAAGGAGCAGCTGGGTCCCTGTCTGCCTCTCCATTGCCTTTTTTTTTTTTTTTAATTATTGTTGTTGAGATGGAATATCGCTCTGTCTCCCAGGCTAGAGGGCAGTGGCACAATCTCAGCTCACTGCAACCTCCCTCTCTCAGCTTCAAATGATTCTGCTGCCTCAGCTTCCTGAGTAGCTGGGATTACAGGTGCCCCCTACCACGCCCAGCTAATTTTTTTGTATTTTTAGTAGAGACGGGGTTTCACCATGTTGGCCAGGCTGGTTCTCAAGCTCCTGACCTCAAGTGATCTGCCTGCCTCAGCCTCCCAAAGTGCTGGGATTACAGGTCTGAGCCACTGTGCCCAGCTACCTCCTTTTCTTTACCCAGGTCCTGGAACAGACCTCTTGTCTCCTCTCGCTCTCTGCTGCCAGTATGACTCCTTGTCCCAGAATTGGGGAGGCCACCAGGGAGAACTGCGGAGCAAATAGTCCACTTGGCTTCCAGGCTCTTTGGGTCCAGCTGGTGGGAGGGAAAGCACAGTTTCCTTGGAGTCATCCACCCTCCGTGGGGCATGGGCCAAGTGCATGGTGGTATGGCCTGTTCCGGGCATACATCTCCTTGGGCCTCTCACAGCCAAGGGCAGGATTTGGGCGTTTCCTGCACCCTGGCCAAAAGATCGCTTGAGTCCGTCACCATCGCCAGCCACGCCTCCTCCACTCCCTTCGGGGCTTCCCAACCCTGTGCAATATCCTCGCCTGACACCCTTGGTCCTGACAGTCTGAAGCCAATTATGTAGGCCTCAGCCCCTAGCTCCCTTTTTATGGGCTGAATCTTATCTCCCAGAAACATCCGTTGAAGCTGAACCCCTGGAACCTGTGAACATAACCTTATTTGGAAATTGCATCTTTGCGGGTCCTAATTCATACAAGATGCAATCAACGTAAGATGAGATCATACTACATATGGGGGTGGGAGGAGCTCACTTAATGATGGGTATCTTTGTAAGAGAGGGATTTGGTCACAGAGGGTACACAGGGGACAGTCACATGAAGATAAGAGAAGAGGCTGGAGTGAGGCAGCCACAAGCCAAGGAGTGCCGGCCACCTCTAGAACCTGGAAGAGACAGGAGGGAGCCTCCCCTAGAGCCCACAGAAGGACTATGGCCCTAATGACATGTGATTTCAGACTCCTGGCCTCCAGAACTGTGATGCAGTAAGCATCTGGTTGTTTGTTTGTTTTGTTTTGTTTGAGACAGAGTCTCACTCTGTCGCCCAGGCTGGAGTGCAGTGGCACGGTATCTGCTCACTGCCAGCTCCACCTCCTGGGTTCATGCCATTCTCCTGCCTCAGCCTCCCGAGTAGCTGGGACTACAGGCACCTGCCACCATGCCCGGCTAATTTTTTGTATTTTTAGTAGAGACAGGGTTTCACTGTGTTAGCTAGGGTGGTCTCAATCTCTTGACCTTGTGATCCACCCACCTCGGCCTCCCAAAGTGCTGGGATTACAGGCGTGAGCCACCGCGCCCGGCCGCGTCTGTTGTTTTAAGCCACCAGAATGCAGTTGTGGTCACTTATCACAGTGGCCGTAAGAACTTTCCTCACCTTTGTACCAGAAACCCTTCGAACCAGCAGAGCCCAACCAGCAGCCCGAGGAGGCAGAGGCATCAGTCTCTCCAGTATCTTTATGATGAGAAATGACATCGGTCTCCCAGCCGCACACAGCAGCCACGTGGGGTCAGCCTCCGGAGGGCCCCTTCCTGCCCGGCACTGGCTGCCCATCAAAACATCTCCCAGACCGCTGCCACCGTGCTCTGCCCGAAGATGAAGGTGCCAACCAGCACAGAGACCACTCCCCAGACCTCCAAGCAGCACCTGCCAAATCAGTAAACCCATGTCAGTGCTTTTCTGGATTATTACACAAACAAGCCATGCACACACAGAAAATTCACTATGTAAAGCCCAGTACGGGGTCATCAATTTGGAAAAAAGAAAAATTCAGAATATTCCCAATTACCTGTAGGGACGGGCTTCCAAGACAATGGGAAGCAAAGTGCAAAGTACTCAGGCAATTTTTGTATTTTTAGTAGAGATGGAGTTTCACCATGTTTGCTAAGCTGGTCTCAAACTCCTGACCTCAAGTGATTCGCCCTTCTCGGCTTCCCAGAGTGCTGGAATTACAAGTGGGAGCCACCATTCCTGGCCCCAGGCAATTTTTAAAAGCCCTCCGATCCCATCTGTTATTTCATAACCCATTTCTCCCCAGTATTTTATCAAATAAAAAGACATGGGGGCCAGGCACGGTGGCACCCACCTATAATCCCAGCACTTTGGGAGGCTGAGGCGGATGGATGCACCTGAAGTCATGAGTTCAAGACCAGCCTGGCCAACATGGTGAAACCCCATCTCTACTAAAAATAGAAATAAAAAATTAGCCAGGCATGGTGGCAGGCACCTGTATTCCCAGCTACTTGGGAGACTGAGGCAGGAGAATTGCTTGAACCCAGGAGGCAGAGGTTGCAGTGAGCCGAGATTGCATCACTGCACTCCAGGCTGGAGGACAGAGCAAGACTCCATCTCAAAAAAAGAGAAAGACATGGAGAGAGGGGAGACACTGCTTTGAAAGTCCCCCCACCCTCCTCCCTTTCTGCTCCTCAGCCTCTGATGAAACCCTATGAAAGTGAAGGAGAAGACGAAAACTCTAAGTCACACACCATCTCAGAGGGGCAGGGGATGAGGACGCAGGAGGCAGAGGTGGCTGGGACCGGCAGCCACCGAGGCCACATTTGTGAGCTTCATAATGTAACCAGAGACGGGGTAGACAAGGAGGTCAGAGTGATAACAAGATTCCCACAAAATGGCAGGGCCACCAGAGGTATTTCTGGCCCCATTAACAAAGGCCAGAAAGATGGGCTGTCATGGAAGGAACATTTCTAACCAAGCAGCATCTCAGCACGGCTGTTCAGCGCCATAAACATCCATTCATCTTTGCCGGCACTGTGAGGCCAATGTGCCCGTGGGCTGCGGCACTCCTGGAACAGTGCTGATGTATTAGAAGGACGTAAAGCAGTTTTAGCAATAAAAATATCTTGAAAGCTCATCAGTAAAAACTGTTGTGAGCTCAGATCAAGGGAGAAAACAAAAGCACGAAGACTCCAAACAGCGCTCCAGGGAATGAGCAGCTTAGTGGGTTGCCAGACATTGGGAGGCTAGTTCTAAACCCAAGGCAGGTTTAGAAACATCCAGAAAAACTGCTCTCAATCCAGAAGAAACCAGGCCAGGCCTGCTCCTTTGCAAAAACCAAGCATGGGCTCAATGGGGCTAGAGGGACGGGGGCTAGAGGGGAACAGACCTACACCTGGGCCCCAAGTTCACGGTTGCTGTCATTTAACATTATCTGTGGTGGGGTGAAGGGTGGCCCCCAAAATTCATGTCCACCTGGAACCTGTGCTGGCGAGCGTATCTGGAAACTGGGTTTTGCAGATGTAATTAAGTGAAAGATCTTGACAGAAGATGCAACCTAGATTTAGAGTGGACCCTAAATCCAATAGTAGGTATCCTTATAAAAGAAAGGCAGCCAGGTGTAGTGGTGGGCGTCTGTGGGCCCAGCTCCTGTGGGAGGCTGAGGCAGGAAGATCGCTTGAGCCCAGGAGGTTGAGGCTGTAGTGAGCCATGATTACACCACTGCACTCCAGCCTGAGCAACAGAGCAAGACTCTGTCTCAAAAAATAAAGTAAGTAAAAGCAGAGGGATATGTGAGACCCAGAGACACAGGGAGAAAGCTAGATAAGGACAGAGGCAGAGACTGGAGTGATGTAGCCACAGGCCAAGGAGCACCTGGGGCCACCGGAAGCTGAGGAGCCTTCAGAGAGTCCAGCCCTGCCAACACCTTGATTTCACACTCCTGGCTCCAGAACCGGGAAAAAAAATCATTTCTGTGGCCTGAAGCCTCCCCACCAGGTCCCAATTTGTGGTAATTTGTTACAATGACACCAGAAAACTAATACCTCATCTCTTTACCTGTCTCAGCCTCAGTTTCCACATCTGTGGAATGGGAGGGAGTCACCCAGACCCGCAGGCTCCCCAGGGGCGGCTGAGGAAGAGCCCGTCATTCATGTGCACGTCATCCTCTTCAGTGGGTCAGACTCAGCTGCCCAGTGGCAAAGCAGACAGGCTCAGTTGTGTCTGATCCACAGGCCCGCTCAGGGATAAATATTTGTCAGATAAAGGAAAGATCCAAATTCCTTGGTCTCAACAGCACTGTATGCCAGGCAGGTGGGTTAGCACGGGGCCTGGGGGCCAGGGGCCTGAGTTGCATCCTAGTTCTGTCCTCACTAGCCTCCTGGCCCGCCTCCTCATCTGTAGGATGGAGACATCCGGGTATGGTGGGGAGGTGAATATGTAAAAGGACCTAGCACAGTGCCTAGCAGAGGAGCCTCGGAACGGCAGCCCACTGCTGTGATAGAACATGTTGTTCTGGTGTCTGGCCGGCCATGCGGTCTCTCTAACTCAGCCTGCACCCTGATCCTGCCCTGGGTCCGAGCCAGGTAGCAAAGGAGGGTACAGATGCACCACTGGGTGCTTCCAGAGGCTGGAATCTACATGAAATCCCAACTACAGACCCTCAAAGCAGAAGGGAAAGCCCTTGCAGGACCCGGCATCACTGGCCTGGGCTCCTGTCCTGGCTCAGATGCCCTCATAGTGGGTGGACACAGACTCTCTTCCTGTGGCCTGCAGGTTTCTCATCTGCAGGATGCGGAGGATGGGAAATAGGATGTCCAGGGTCCCCTGAGGCATTCTTACTCTGATCCGGGGCACGCCCAGGTTGCCACTTCATCTTAGGGACACTTACTTGACTCTTGGTCCTATAGGCTCGATGCCCATTGCGCAGATGAGGCACAAACCTGCAAAAAAGACAGGGTCACCCTCAGCTCTTCGTTATCAAACCCAAAGCAACAAAGAGGTCCCAGGAGAAGTCCTCAGGGACCCAGGAGGCCAGCAAGGCCTCTGCCCACAGGTGCCCCTGGCTCAGGCCCCCTGGAGAGGCAACGCAGTGGAACTGGAAGGATGGGGCTGGAGTCCCAGCTCAACATGCCTTGTGACTCAGCCAGAGGTCTGGCAACAACTGGCTTCCCAGAGCCCCGTGTTTCCGGCAACCTTGACAACATGCCCTCCACAGCAGGGTCTGTGAGGAGATGGTGAGAGTCCATGCCTGACGCCCAGGAAGGGCTCAGCAACTGGCAGCTACCATTATTACTATATTATTTTTTTTTTTTTGAGACAGAGTCTCACTCTGTGGCCAGGCTGGAGTGCAGTGGCACCATCTCAGCCCACTGCAACCTCCACCTCCCGGGTTCAAACGATTCTCATGCCTCAGCCTCCTGAGTAGCTGGGACTACAGGCACATGCCACCACGCCCAGCTAATATTTGTATTTTTAGTAGAGACAGGGTTTCACTATGTTGGCCAGGATGGTCTCAACCTCGACCTCGTGATGTTCCCGCCTCAGCCTCTCAAACTGCTGGGATTACAGGTGTGAGCCACCGCACCCAAACTTTTTTTTTCTTTTTCTTTTTTTTTAATAGGTCTGCTAGGATTCAGGGCCATGTAGCTCGACCTCAGGTTCCCAAAGGATCCTCTCTTATCCCAAACCTGTCCTGGGCAGTCCTTCCCAGCACAGGAAACAGCCAGTGCTACAACTGGCCACCTGATCACAGAACCAGAACTTAATCCAGCAGCCCAGACCAGGCAGTGTGACGGTGGAGCCACGTGGCCACACCCTCACCTCTGAGAAGCTCCACCCACAGCTGGAGTGAGCAGCAGTGTGGCCACACCCTCAGCCCTGAAAGCCCCGCCCAGAGCCTGAGGGAGGGGCTGTGTGACCACACTCTCACCTCTGAAAGCCCCACCCAGAGCTGAGGGAGGAACTGCATGGCCACACCCCTCATCTCTGAAAGCTCCAAAGCCTGAGGGAGGAGCCGTGTGGCCACACCCCTCACCTATGAAAGCCCCGCCCAGAGCAGAGAGGAGCTGTGTAGCCACACCCTCACCTCTGAAAGCTCCACCCCAAGCCAGAGGGAGAAGCCACACAGCCACACCCCTCACCTCTGAAAGCCTCACCCAGAGCCTGAGTGAGGAGCTGCATAGCCACGCCCTCACCTCTGAAAGTCCAGCCCACAACTGAGGGAGGAGCCGTGTAGCCACACCCCCATCAATGAAAGCTTTGTCCAGAGCGTGCAGGAGCAGTTGTATGGCTACACCCCTCACCTCTGAAAGTCCTGCCCAGAGTCGAGGAAGGAGCTTTGTAGCCACACCCTCACCTCTGAAAGCTCCACCCCAAGCCCAAGGGAGAATCCACGTGGCCACACCCCTCATTTCTTTGAAAGCTCCACCCAGAACCTGAGGGAGGAGCCACATGGCCACACCCCTCACCTCTAAGAGCTCCGTGCAGAGCCAGGAGCAGAGTGGGTGGCTGTTCTCCTCCCCTCCCTTCACTTCCGCAGTTTTTATCCCTTAATCCCAGTAGACCCCAATTTACAGGAGCTAGGGCAGGTACAGTTAGATTCTCAAGGGACTATATCAAAGACAACCCCTGAATCTTAACTCACCTGCTAAGAACCCGCTTTTCATATTCCACACATCAGTTGGCCTCTGATAACCAAGGTTTCTCTGTGGACCTCAATTCTTCCATCCCCCACCTCCGGACTATTGACAAAGTTGTCACCACCCACTTACCTGGGACCCTGAACAATGTTTCATTTCATTTCATTCCCTCATTCGAGTTTTGGAAAACCTCTAAGAGCTTCTCCTGTGCTTTCTGTAAGTTTCACCAATGAGCATCTACTTCTTGTCTGTTTGACATAAGGGCTGCATTAGGGTACTGGGGATATCTGGCTAAGGGTCCCCAAGCTCAATGTCTCCTTGACGGGGTTCCTCTCACGGCTGAATCACAGGGTCCACTCACGGAACACGCACTGAGGGACCCTCGACTGTGTACTTAGCATTTGCTGTGCGTGGGGCCCTGGAACAGCCCCCACTGCGGATGTAGGGTCTCTGTTCTGGGCTCCAGTGGGTCACTACAGTGTTCTCTCTTCCTCTGGAAGAAGCATCCCTCCAGCTCCTCCTTGCTGGCTTCCCCTCAGATAACGCTTGGGCTGTTCTGAATTGGAACAGCTCTCCATCGCACACTAACTTTGGGAAGGTTTCCTAAGAAACCATCCTTCGCAGAAACAGTGTTTGCCTCCAGGGCCTGGGGGCAGGAGGGGAGGGAGCCTTCACAGGGTGCCTTGAGCCACGTGACTTTCACATATATGATTTTCTTTTTTAATAAAACAAAATCCTTTACCAGGAGGTACCAGCAGTAGCACGGACAGAGCTGTATGATTGACCCTCAGCCCTGCTGCACACTAGCTGTGCCCCATAGGGGGTTCAGGGCCTCGGTCTTCCCATCTATGGAGTGGGATAATAAAGGTTCCTCTGTCAAGGATGTCCATCAGGAGCTGTATTAGTCTGCTTGCGTGCTGCTAATAAAGACCTACCAGGGACTAGGTAATGGTTTGTTTTTGTTTTTGTTTTTTGAGGAGTTTTACTTTTGTTGCCTAGGCTGGTGTGCAGTGGCACGATCTTGGCTCACCGCAACCTCTGCCTCCCGGGTTCAAGTGATTCTCCTGCCTAAGCCTCCCAAGTAGCTGGGATTACAGGCATGTGCCACCATGGATGGCTAATTTTGTATTTTTAGTAGAGAAAGGGTTTCTCCATGTTGGTCAGGCTGGTCTCGAACTCCTGACCTCAGGTGATCTGCCTGCCTCAGCCTCCCAAAGTGCTGGGATTACAGGTGTGAGCCACTGTGCCCGGCCAGAGGCTAGGTAGTTTATAAAGGAAAGAGGTTTAATGGACTCACAGTTCCACATGGCTTGGGAGGCCTCACAATCATGGCAAAAGGTGAATAAGGAGCAAAGTCATGTCTTACATGGTGGCAGGCAAGAGAGCTTGTGTGGGGGAAGTCCCATTTATAAAACCATAGGATCTCATGAGACTTATTCACTACCACGAGAACAGTAGGGGTGGAACCACCCCCTTGATTCAACTATCTCCACCTTGCCCTGCCCTTCACAGATGGGGATTATCACAGTGCAAGGTGAGACTTGGGTGGGAACACAGCCAAAGCGTATCAGGAGCTACTGAGATGTTCAATGAGTGAGCGAAGGTATGTAAAGCCCAAGCCCTGTGCCTGGCTCAATAAACAGGGCACCTACATGGGGCCTTAATCCTACCTGTATGTGTCTCCCACCTTCCAGAACCTTGACCTCCAACACGGGGAGTCCCCACAGAGATGAACAGGGAAGAACGAGTGGGCAGAAAGCCTGGAAAGCAGGGGCCTCACCTGGGAAGATGAAGATGAAGAAGGAACTGATGCCTCCGATGATGCTGACGATCTCGCTGAGGTCGGGCATAAACAGCACCATGGCGAGCGTCACGGTGACCCACAGGACAGTCAGCGGCATCCGGACCCACAGCCCTGAGGGGTCAGCCAGGGCCCTGGGCCCCCATCCCCACAAGCAGCTTCTCCTCCAGAAATCCTGCATCACCGACCTGGAGGCCACGCCCAACACAGACAATGGGCATCCCAGGGGCACCAGCCTCCACCTGCCAGCTGCTCCCCCAGTCCTCCAGGAGTCCCCCCCCGCCAGGGCTCCTGTTCCACAGTCAGGCATTAATTCCCCAGGAGATCTTGCCAACCCTCAGGGATTCTGCCACCATCAGGCAGCCCATGGGACAGGGGATAAAGCACATGGTTCGAGTTCCAGTCCTGGCTATGACACACACTCACGGGGTGACTTTGGGCAATCTACCTAAATCCTCTGTGCCTGTTTCCTCCTCTCTACAACTGGAGATGATGGTAGTCCCACAGCCATGTAACCCACACCTGGCACATGCTGAATCACAGCACACGTCAGCAGACCATGCTGAACGGTGCCCCCCCCAATGAGCCAGGCCTCACCTCCCCAGGAAGAGCACGATGGGGTAGACAGTTACGATGGAGACAGCAAAAAGGACCCGGGCCACAATGATGACCATGTCATTGCCTGGGTAGGACATCAAGATGTCAGCAGAAACTTCTGTCCCAAAGGTCAGGAAGCCATAAACCCCTGAAGGTGGGAAAGGACGGAAGCCAGAGAGTGAATTAGGAAAATGCTGTCCCCTCCCCCACCAACAGATGGAGAGTGCCTGGCTTTACCACCTAGGATTTTGGAAGGGATAGCCCAACGCTTTCCTGTCCTAAGCCTATACATGACTCTGCTCCACGGATTCAAAACTCCTGCAGACAAATCCGCCACTTGTCCTTCTTTCAAATCGCTCACAGAGCTGGTGCACAGAGCTTACCCATAGCACGTGTGTTGACTAGAAGCACAGAACACTCTGAAAAATACAAACACACCTCCCATGCCCTGTCCATCTCACTCCTACGACATCTAAAGAAAGCAGCTAGCTGTGCACACATTTCCAAATGGGGAAAACCAAGAGCCAGGGCGTCAACGAATGCCTGGAATCACACAGCTAGTTTTCGTGGACTGAGGACTACAGCACCAGGCCCTTTGCCCCAACAGAGTGATGCTGCTTCCATCACCCCCGGTTGCCTGCCCTGTCCTGAGACATCTGCCTCTGACTAACAGCCACATCCCTTTCACCTCTCTGCAAGCCCTTTCTGAGAGGTCCCATGGCCCTGGCAGTGAGAACATGTGGAAGTGACACTGAATCACTGAGTCTGACCCATGGACTACAGACTGATGGGACCTCCTCTGCTGGGGAGGGAGTCACCCAGCAAGTTTCCTGAGTAACCACAGTATCTTAGTCCATTTTCTGTTGCTTACAACAGAATACCTGAAACTGGGCATCTCATAAAGAAAAGAAATTTACTTCCTATAGTTATGAAGGCTGAGAAGTCCAAGACTGAGTGACCACACTGGGAAGGCCTTCTTGCCAATGGGGACTGTCTTCAGAGTTCCGAGGTGGCACAGGGCATTGCACGGCAAGGAGGGTGAGCTCTGACTCAGTCCTCATTCCCTCTTCTTATAAAGCCACCAGTGCCATGTCCATGATAACCCATCAGTCCATTCACCCATTAATCCATTAAGCCCCTGCCCCATGCCTCTTATGTGGGCTCTTCGGCTGGACCTAGAAACTAAAATCGACACCAGTGAGACAATGAGATCAACAGGAGAAAAGCCTACAGGTCTTATTAATTCTCCATGTACATGGGCTCTTAACAGAGTGATGTCTGAAGAAGCGGCCAAAATGAGATGCCTTTATACTTTTTAGACAAAGAATAAATCTGACAAGGAATAACAGGCCAAAGGGGATCCGGTCAGGGGCAGTGAATTTCTAGGGGAGTCACTAGGAGATATATGGGGTGGGTATAAAACTAGCAGACGCTAAGGGCTAGTTCAGTAAGTGGATTTATTCAGGTCCATTGCAGCCAGAAATCCCCCTTCCGGTGATGATGACCATTTCCTCACCCTGGCATGGGGAGGGGGCCCCTCCCAGAGGAATTTTTATGGCTTAACTCCTGCAGGAAGAGTCCAATCAGCTAGCCCTTTCTGAAACTACAATTTCTCGTGTGTGTGTGTGTGTGTGTGTGTGTGTATAATTTTTTTTTTTTTTTAAGATGGAGTCTCACTCTGTCATCCAGGCTGGATTGCAGTGGCACAATCTCGACTCACTGCAACCTCCACCTCCCACGTTCAAGCGATTCTCTTGCCTCAGCCTCCTGAGCAGCCGGGATTACAGGCACGTGTCACCACGCCCAGCTAATTTTTTGTATTTTTAGTAGACACGGGGTTTCACTGTGTCAGCTAGGATGGTCTCGATCTCCTGATCTCGTGATCCACCTGCCTCAGCCTCCCACAGTGCTGGGATTACAAGCATGAGCCACCATGCCTGGCCTCTGATATTTTCAACCCGAAATAATCAACGTACCAGTTTGGCATACTGGCAGATGGCGCATCCTTCAACCCTTCACCACAAATGGATTAATCTGTTCATGAGAGCAGCATCCTCATGACTTCACAGCTTCTTAAAAGCCTCACCTCTTGATACTGCCATACTGGCAATTACATTTCAACAGGAGTTTTGGAGGGGACAAAGAATCAAACCACAGCATTCTGCCCCTGGTCCCCAAAACTCATATCCTCCTCACAGATAAATACCCTATAGTTATTCCAACCCCATGGCCCCAAAGTCTTCATGTGCTCCAGCACCAACTCAGAGGTCCAAACTCCAGTGTCTGGTCTGCGAGCCTGTGCAATCAAAAGCCATCTACTTCCAAGACACAATGGCAGTGCAGGCAAAAGAAACATTCTCATCCCAGCAGACAGACCAAGACCAAAGACAAGGAGTAAAGGCTCCAAGCAAGTCTGAAACCCAGCAGGGCAGACGCTCAAGCTTCAAGCTGGAGGATCATCTGTTTTGACACCACGTGCCACCCCCTGGACACACTGGGGCAACTCCACTCCTACGGCTTTGCCGGGTACAGCCCACGTGTCTGTTCACAGGGGCTGGCGCTTGATGCCTGAAGCTTTTGCAGGCAGGCGTTGCACATTGCTGCTAACTTCGCGGTTTGTAGCCCCAGCGGCGGTCCCACTCTCACGACTCCACTAGGCACTGCCCTGGCAGAGATGCTCTGCAGTAGCTCCAACCTGCATTTCCACTTGGCACTGCCCTCATGGGGGCTCTGTAGAGTGGCTCTGCGGCTGTGACAAGTCTCTGCCTGGACTCCTACGCTTTCCACAACATCCTTTTTTTTTTTTTTTTGAGACAGGGTCTTGCCCTGTCACCCAGGCTGGAGGGCAGTGGCACAATCACAGCTCATTCCAGCCTTGACCTCCAGGGCTCAAGTGATCCTCCCGCCTCAGCCTCCTGAGTAGCTCGAACTACAGGCTCACACCACCATGTTCTGCTAATTTAAAAAAATGTTTTGTAGAGACAGGGTCTCACTACATTGGCCAGGCTGGTCTTGAATTCCTGGCCTCAAGCAGTCCTCTCACCTCAGCCTCCCAAAATGCTGGGATTACAGGCATGAGCCACCACACCTGGCCTGAACAACATCTTTTGAAATCTGGGCAGAGGCTGCCAAGTTTCTGTAGCTCTGTCTGCCAGGCTGCAGAATTAGTGCCACATGGATCCTGCCAAGGTTTACCACTTATACCTCTGGGGCTGTGGCACGAGTCAGACCAGGGGCCACTTGAGCCAAGGCTGGTGCAGCGAGGAACCCTGTGCCAGGGTCCAGGGAGCAGAGACATGAGGGCACCTAGGATAGCCTGTGGAGGCACCCTGGGTCTGTCCCCAGAACCATCCTGCCCTGGAGGCCCCTGAGCCTGCGATGGGAGGGGCAGCCTCTAAGATCTCTGAAATGCCTTCAGGGTCTTTCTTCCATTCTCTAGATAATCCTTTCTCTCCGTACTAATCTCCTTAGCAAAAGTCTCAGGGCCATAACCTTGGTTTCCTGTCCAGAACACGCGCTGCACTCTACACGGCCAGGCTGAAAGAGTTCCAGATCTTGCTGCTTTGCTTCTCTTTTGATGATCAGTTCCCTCTTCAAGTCATTTTTTGCCTGTCCCAGCATAACGTGAGCAGCTAAGAATAGCCATGCAGCATCGTGAACGCTCTGCTACTTGATATCTCTGCTGCCAGATACCCTAGTTCGTCCTTTTTTGCCGGGGGAGACAGTCTCTTGCTCGTCGCCCAGGTTGGAGTGCAGTGGCACAATCTTGGCTCACTGCAACCTCCGCCTCCCAGGTTCAAGTGATTCTCCTGCCTCAACTTCCCGAGTAGCTGGGATTACAGGTGCCCGCCACCATGCCCAACTAATTTTTTGTATTTTTAATAGAAATAGGGTTTTACCATGTTGGACAGGCTGATCTCAAAATCCCGACCTCAAGTGATCCACCTGCCTCGGCCTCCCAAAGTGCTGGGATGACAGGCATGAGCCGCGGCACCCGGCCAGTTCTTCCCGTTCAAGTTCAGCCTTCCACAAAGCCCTCGGGCATGGACACGGTTCAGCCAAGTTATTTACCAGTTTCTAACAGGTTTGGCCTTTACTCCAGCTTCCAAACCCTTGTTCCTTGGTTCCGTCTGAAACCTCCTCAGAATAGCCTTTACTATCCATGACTAGCTACAGCATCTAAGAAGTTCCAAATGTTCCCTAGTCTTGTCTCTAAGCCCTCACCAGAATCTAGCCTTTTTCTAGCCTGCTCCTCCGAATTCTTCCAGCCTACACTCATTGCCCAGCTCCAAAGCCACTTCCACGTTCCAGGTAGTCAATCATCAACTCTTTATACCAATTTTCTGTCTTAGTCTATTTTTTGTTGGTTACAACCGAATGCCTGAAACTGAGTAATTTATAAAGAAAGGAATTTTATATTTTTACAGTTATGGAGAAGTCTGTACTTCTCCATATGAGAAGTCCAGGATTCTCAGTTATGAGAAGTCCAGGATCAAGAGGCTGCATCTGGTGAGAGCCTTCTTGCTGGGGGGGACTTTGCAGAGCCCTGAAGTGGCACGCAGGGTGTCACATGGCGAGGGGGCTGAGCGTGTGAGCCCAGGACTCTCTTCCTCTTCTTACAAAGCCACCAGCCCCACCCCCATGATAACCTATTAATCCATTAATCCATGAATAGATTAATCTGTTCATGAGGGCAGAGGCCTCATGCCCCAATCCCCTCTTGAAGGCCCCACCTCTCAACGCTACCACATCGGGGATTAAATGTCAACGTGAGTTTTAAAGAGGATAAATATTCAAACCATAGCACACAGGAGTCCAAGGCTGCCTGACAGACCCACTGCAGCCCAAGAGCTTCCTAGATTGGAGGATACGATGTGAATGAAAAAAAGACTGGAGTGAAGGGGCCAACCAGAAGCCAGCCGTGCCAGAGACCTGGGTCTGTGCTTCCGACGCACTGTATGACCTTGGGTGTCACAGCCCCTCTCCGAGCCACACTTTCCTCACCTTTAAAGACCCTCTGCCTCCCACACACAGTTTGTGAGCACCTGAGTCCACTGTACCCACAAACGTTTTGTAAACCACCACCCAGATGTTACAATGTCATGACTGACAGCAGTCAATGTCCTTTGAACAGCAGGCAGCAGGGCTGGGGTGTGGTGTGTAAGAGCAAGAGCTGTGGAGATGGCTAGGCTGGAGTTCAGTTCTCAGCTTTGCACATCTAACTGTGAAACCCTGAACAAGTTCTGGAGGGCCTCTGAGCCTCAGCTTCCTCATCTATGAAATGGGGCCTTTTCCTATGGACACTAAGAATTAAACGAGTCCAGGGGCTCAAAACGTGGAGTATTGGGTCCAGCACATGGTAAACTCTCTAGAGAGATTCTCACTGTTACTCCCCACCCTCTGCAGGGGTGCCTGGGAAGAGCCTTACCCGTTAGTGAATAGATGAGGCAGCAGGCCAGCAAGGACAGCACGGAGACCAGGGCCCAGTGGGGGAGGCTCCGCTTGTGCATGCTACAGTAGATGGAGACAGCAGCTTCGTGACACTGCAAGACAGAGGGCGGCTCAGCAGGATGCTGGCATCCCCCGGAACCAGAGATGCGAAAAAGCACTCATATCCAAAAGGTGGGAAATGTGGGATAGGATGAGGTTTCTCTTCAAATAGCCTGATCAATCCTTTATTCTTTAATTCATAGTACACCCCCACCCCGTTTCCCTTTTTTTCTTCCTTCCTACCTTTGTTACATGTCCAAACACGCCACAGTACCAGGTGTTATCAATACCAGCTCACATTCCTTTTTCTTTTTTTTTTTTTGAGATGGAGTCTTGCTCTGTCGCCCAAGCTGGAGTGCAGTGGCGCGATCCTGGCTCACTGCAAGCTCCGCCTCCCGGGTTCACGCCATTCTCCTGCCCCAGCCTCCCGAGTAGCTGGGACTACAGGCGCCCGCCAGCTCGCCCGGCTCATTTTTTGTATTTTTAGTAGAGACAGGGTTTCACTATGGTCTCGATCTCCTGACCTTGTGATTCGCCTGCCTCGGCCTCCCAAAGTGCTGGGATTACAGGCGTGAGCCACCGCGCCCGGCCACATTCCTTTTTCTTTAAAAAAAAAAACTAGCTCTCTAGCTCATTACAAACACCCCTTCCCCTTTCCCCTCTCCTCCTTACCTGCCCACCTTATCTCAAAAAAGTTCCAATGTCTAACCAACCGAGACTGGTTTAGATTGTGCGGCTCAACCCCAGCCTGTGGGAAAAGCGTACAGGGGCAGGACTTGCGTCAGGAAGAAAGGCCCTCGTACCCCTTTGTTCAGGTATGCTCTCATGGCAACTGGCCAAGAAAAAGCACCCCTCTGCACAAAAGTAAAATCACTTTGCTAAGAATCCTTTGAGTGTTCAATTTCGTTAAGATTTTGAGCGTCTGCCGGGCGCGGTGGCTCAAGCCTGTAATCCCAGCACTTTGGGAGGCTGAGACGGGCGGATCACAAGGTCAGGAGATCGAGACCATCCTGGCTAACACGGTGAAACCCCGTCTCTACTAAAAAATACAAAAAACTAGCCGGGAGAGGTGGCGGGCACCTGTGGTCCCAGCTACTCCGGAGGCTGAGGCAGGAGAATGGCGTAAACCCGGGAGGCGGAGCTTGCAGTGAGCTGAGATCCGGCCACTGCACTCCAGCCTGGGCGACAGAGCCAGACTCAGTCTCAAAAAAAAAAAAAAAAAAAAAAGATTTTGAGCGTCATTCCCAACAGACACAACCCACATGCCCACCAAGAGCAGAGGGCGTAAATCAGTGGCAGGATGCTAACACACAGAGCATGACATGGCTCTGACAAAGAACCGTGCACCTCAACACAGAAGAATCTCGCAGACAGAACGTTGAACAAAAGAAGCCAGATAGGGGCCGGGCGCGGTGGCTCACACCTGTCATCCCAGCACTTTGGGAGGCCAAAGGGGGCAGATCACTTGAGGTCAGGAGTTCGAGACCAGCCTGGCCAACATGGCAAAACTCCATCTCTAAAAGTACAAAAATTAAGCTGGGCATGGTGGTGAGCACCTGTAATCCCAGCTACTCGGGAGGCTGAGGCAGGTGAATTGCTGGAATCTGGGAGGCAGAGGTTGCAGTGAGCCAAGATCGTGCCACTGCACTCCAGCCTGAAAGACAGAGACTCTGTCTCACAAGAAAAAGCAGCCAGACAGCAGAGAATGTTTCCGTTAATAGATGCAAAGTTCAAGTTACAAGATGAACGATTCTACACCAGGGTTTCTCAGCCTTGGCACGATTGGTGTCCAGTGTGGGATAACTCCAGCAGCCGCCCTGTGTGATGATTGGGGCAGGGGGATGTTGTGCAGTGTCCCTGGCCGGGACCTACTAGATGCCAGTAGCAGCCCCCCTCCCCCAAGTTGTGACAACCCAAAATGTCTCCAGACATGGCCAAATGTTCCCTGGGGGTATAACCAACCCACATGAACCTGTGCTAGAAGGCAGGATGGTGGTTTGGGTAGGGTGGGTGCTACTGACTAGAAAAGGTCATGAAGGGGGTCCTGGGGGCTTGACCATGTCACGTGGGTGCACACCTACTTAGAATCTACATACTGTATATGTGACATGCCATATTGGGGTTATAATTTTTTTTGGTAGAGATGGGTTCTTACTGCATTGCCCAGGCTGTTCTCAAACTCCTGAGCTCAAGCAACTCTCCTGCCTTGGCCTCCCTAAGTGCTGAGATTTCAGGTGTGAGCCACCATGCCCAACAGGGATAAGAATTTTAAATGCAGGAGGGAGTGGTGGCTCATGCCTGTAATCTCAGCACTTTGGGATGCCGAGGCGGGTGGATCACCTGAGGTCTGGAGTTGGAGACCAGCCTGTCCAACAAGGTGAAATCCCATCTCTACTAAAAGTATAAAAATTACGTGTGGTGGCACACGCCTATAATCCCAGCTATTTGGGAGGCTAAGGCAGGAGAGTAGCTGGAGCCTGGGAGGCAGAGTCTCACTCTGTCACCCAGAATGGAATGAAGTGGCGCCATCTTGGCTCACCGCAGCCTCCGCCTCCTGAGTCCTCAAAGGACTCTCCTGCCTCAGCCTCCAGAGTAGCTGGGATTACAGGCACGCCCAGCTAAGTTTTTATATTTTTGGTAGAGACAGGGTTTCACCATGTTGTCCAGGCTGGTCTCATACTCCTGACCTCAAGTGATCCTCCCACCTCAGCCTCCCAAAGTGCTGGGATTACAGGCGTGAGCCACCAAGCCCAGTGCAATAATTTTTTTTAATGCACAACATACACAGTCAATGCCAAGAGCCCATGAGTCACGTGGATTCATTTCTTTGGGTGGGTTGTGGACACTGGTGATTCATGAACAGCCAAGGGAACACTGATGTACAGCCAGGGCTGCGCGGGGAGGCTCTGCTCTGTCCAGACACGAGGGGCAGGGAGGCTGCTCTGTCCAGACACGAGGGGTAGGGAGGTGCTGCTCCGTCCAGACACACCGGGCAGGGAGGCTGCTCCGTCCAGACACACTGGTGGGTTTGGCGTTCTTCCCAGGCTCCCAGGGCTGGTTCCCACCATCACACCCACTCACTCACTCACTCCTGGTTAAAACCAAACATGCCGAGGCCTCGCTCCTGCCCACCCTGCAAGGATCCTATACAAGGAGCTCAGATTGGCTGGGTCTCCCCTCCCTGCCTCAGGGCCTTTGCCTGTGCTGGTCCCTCTGGCAGGATTTTCTCCTGGTCCAGCCAGCTCCTCCGCACCCTCCCGGGGAGTCCTCCCTAGTGGGCTGGTTTCCTCTCTCACACGGCCCGTGTCTTCAACATAAGCAGGCTTTTCATTTTGTCTGCTCAGCATCTCTCAACCACACGACAACAATGACCACGTATGCCTTGCTCAGGGCTCTGAACTTGGGCCCGGATCGGAGCCTGCACCCAGCTGAATGAACACTCCAGGGGTTACCCACCTACCCATCCCGTGAACCCACCCAGTAGCCACCAGGCCTCCCTTCACCCAGCCCCGCTGTCTGTCACTCATGAGTCCTACTCGGTGCAAGTGAGCAAAGCCAAGGAAACAAGCCCAGCACAGCCATCCTCCCACTCCCAGGACACATTCTGTAGATGTAGGAGGGCACAGTGGCCTCCTCCCTCTGGCTTCCAGCCCCTACTGAGCACACCCCTTCCACTGACCTCACGTGCCGTGCACCCCTGCTTTCTGCCCCCAGGTTTCCCTGACCTATGGGAGGGCTCCACCAGCAGTGGGGACTCGACACCTCTGGGACTCTGCGGATCAACCCTCCGCCTCCTGCACCTCCACGGCACTTGTGGGGTTCACCCCACACACTCAGGTCAGCCCTGTGGACCTGGAGCCCCAGTGCCGACAATGGGGACCTCCGTGATACCCCTTTCCTGTTCCTAAAGGGGCACCAGCACCTCAGCCCCATCGCAGGCTCTGCCTTCAGGGCACTACAGGTGCCCCAAGGTGGGGGGGTCCCAGAACGGCAGCTCTGCATATAGGGGCACAGCTGAGTTCAGTATAAGGGAGAAGACAGTCAGTAGTGCCCGACAGGCTGGCGGGCAGGAGGGTGCCTCCTTTTCTCCCCATTGACTCCCCAGTTGGGTTTCTACTGGTGTTTTTTGTTGTTTTTTATTTGAGACAGAGTCTTGCTCTGTAGCCCAGGCTGGAGTGCAGTGGCATGATCTTGGCTCACTGCAACCTCCGTCTCCTGGGTTCAAAGGATTCTGATTCAGCCTCCCAAGTAGCTGGGAGTACAGGCCCGCGCCAGCATGCCCAGCTAATTTTTGTATTTTTTGTTCAGATGGGGTTTCACCATGTTGGCCAGGCTGGTCTTGAACTCCTGACCTCAGGTGATCCACCAGCCTCAGCCTCTTAAAGTCCTGGGATTACAGGTATGAGCCACTGTGCCTGGCCTCTACTTGTTTTATAAGGGGAAGCAGAGCAGACCTGCTGAGGGCGGGTGGCACCCAGGAGCTGGTGGCAATGTACAGACACTCATTGCTCGGTGATGGAAAAAGATGGGGAGATGGGAAGACGACACAGTGGCCAAAAAGTGGACCCCACCCAGATGTCCATCAAAGGACACAGGGATAAAGCGCAGCTTATCCACACAATGGAACGTTATTTGACCACACATAGGGTGGCTACAACATGGATGAATCTCACCAACACGGTGGGGAGGGAAGCCTGTCATTAAAGGCCACAGTGGGATTCCATTCCTAGGAGAGGGCCATCGTAGGCAAATCCAGAGAGACAGAAAGCACAAAAGCTGCGGGCAGGGGTGGAGAATGGAGAGCGACTGACGGCGATGGGTTTCCTCTGGGAACAACAGAAAGGTTCTCAACTGACTGTGATGGTGGCACAGCTCTGAATATACTAAAATCCATTACGTTGTACACTTCAGAAAGGTGAATGGCATGGTATGTGCATTCTATCTTAACAAAAATGTTTTTTAAGACCACAAAAACCAGCTGGGCACAGTGGTTCACGCCTGTAATCCCAGCACTTTAGGAGGCTGAGGTGGGTGGATCACAAGGTCAAGAGATCGAGACCAGCCTGGCCAACGTGGTGAAACCCCATCTCTACTAAAAATACAAAAATTAGCTGGGCATGGTGGCAGGTGCCTGTAGTTCCAGCTACTCAAGAGGCTGAGGCAGGAGAATTGCTTTAACCCAGGAGGCAGAGGTTGCAGTGAGTCAAGATCGCGCCACTGCACTCCAGCCTGGGCAACAGAGCGAGAGTCTGTCACAAAAGAAAAAAAAAAACCACCAGAAATCCTGGCATAGCCGCACTGGCTGGGGGTGGACACGACCCCTCTGCTCCTGAGTCCCTCTCACAGACTGGACAGGCCTGGGGCGGGGGTGCCCCATTGCCAAATGTGTTTGGGTGGGGATGCTGTGTTTGAGTCAGGTCAGAGTTCCTGATGATAGTATGTGACCGTCCCTTCCCTGCAGCCCTCTTCAGCCTCACCCCCTTTCCCAGCACCTTCACCTACATTTATTCTCCCCCGCTTCAGATCCTGGCAGCCCCCACCTCTACCCTGAGCCCCTACTCCCACTCCTTCAATTCTCATCCTTCCCCGCTCTTCATCTCAGCATCTCGTGTCCCTGGAGACGCAGCCCAGGCCTGGTTGCTAGGAGAATCGGATGAGGGCTGGAGGCAAAGGTGAGGGGCACCACTTGCCAGCATCGGGGAGGCGGCCCCAGAGTGGGTCTGCTGCACCATATGGCGCTTGGGCACAGAGAGGCGTTGTTAAACCCAGTCCAGACAAACAGTTGACAGCAAAATCAGTTCTTTAGATCTTTCAAAATATTGGACATGCAAGAAGCAATGTGAGAAATCCACGGAAGTGGCTTGCTGAGGCCCTGAAGCCCCACGCTGACTTATTATGCGGAAGAGAAATGGAAATCTTTCAGAATTTTTTTCTTTCCTGAAAAGGGTTCTCAAAGAAAAGGCAAGATGAAGAACAGAAGCAGAGCTCACTGATGGTCAAGGGAAGAGAAGAGCTCAATGGCTACTAAGCTGAGATCCAGTGGTAAACCCTGAACACATCTCCCTGTGGACTTGATTTTACTTTGGAATGGTTTTGTTGGTGCTGGTAGTAGGCAGTGGATAGGTGGTTGTTTTTAGGAGATATAGGTAAATCTTCCCTAAAATAAGCAACATGGCCAGGCACGGTGGCTCACGCCTATAATCTTAGCGCTCTGGGAGGCCGAGGTGGGCAGATTGCTTGAGGTCAGGAGTTCGAGACCAGCCTGACCAACATAGTGAAAACCCCCTGTACTAAAAATACCAAAAAGAATTAGCTGGGCATGGTGGCGCATACCTGTAGTTCCAGCTACTTGGGAGGCTGAGGCAGAAGAATTGCTTGAATCTGGGAGGCAGAGGTTGCAGTGAGCTGAGATCCACTGCACTCCAGCCTGGGCAACAAGAGTGAGACTACAACTCAAAAAAGAAAAACAAACCAAAAACAATGGAAGAACAGTGTCTGCTGCCACCTACTAGGAGGGCTAGGGGAACCCATGACAGCCCAGAAGCAGGGACTGAGCCCAGGCCCGCCGCCTCCCTGCTGTCCCCCCATCCCTGGCCACCTTTCCCCCAGCACCGTGCCACAGAGCCCTCTGCACGTCTCTCTCCAGCTGTGCCTGGGGTCTGCTCACCTCAGCGCCCACCTGTGCTGCCCTCTCTACCTGGGGTGCACTCCCAGTCACCTGGCTGCTGCCCATATATCCTTCAAGATCCCCTTCAGACCCTACCACCTTGAGCAGACACCTCTGACTCTACCCCTCTGCCAGGATTCTACATATACAACCTCGTCCTCCCTCCCATGATATTCTATTAAAAATTCTGTATTCCTGTCCCCTCCCCCTCTCTAATCAGCTACCTATACACCTTCCAGCTCCTCTACCCTGTACCCCTCAGGAGGCAGGATCTTTCCTGCCCAAGGCCCTGGGCAGAGTCCACCTGGGTAAAACTGTCCTGCCAGAGTTAAGTAGAAAGCTCTAGGCCTCCAGGCCTCAGGTCTGATTACAACCCTGTGGGGGTTCTGCAGAGGAAGCGACAGGTCTCAGGTCCCCACACTCTACCCGAGACCCAATAAACATGGTGCTGCTTTTGGCCATCAGTGGGGGCTGGATTCCCAAGTTCAAGGCAATTCCCACCTCCCTGAACCCAGACACCAACCCACTCTCGTGGTCTCGAAAGACAGCCTGGAGACCACAGGTCGACAGCAGAGAGCCCAGTGTATCCTAGAAGTCCTCAAACGCCTCCCTAACAGAGAAAACCAAGGTTTCCTGAGGGAGCAGAGACTCACCCACAGCCTCTGCAAATGCCACAGTCTTCAACACAGATGCTCAAATTACCTGAAACCCGAAGCAGATGGTGGGGAAGACACTGAACACAGAGGTCCAGGAGGCAGGGCTGTAAACAGACAAGAACAGGAGTTTATTAAAGAAGGGTCACACCCGGAACAACCTGCGGCTACAAGGGTGAATTTTAAAGGATGCTAGGAAAATGTAACAGAGCATGGCTGCAAGTTGTATTTTTAATGACTGTGTCCGTGACCAGGCTTTTGGGAATGGAAAAGGATGCTGGCTAAATGCTGCACTTTCTAAATACGTCTTTGCTGACATTTGGTAACATGACATTTTCCATGTGGGCAGAATTCGGGCAGGGAAACAGCAATAGGAACTCCCAACTTCCTTCTTGAAGGCTGCTGGCTCCCAGTGTGGTTTGGTAATGGGGGGGCACCCACAGCATCCACGCAATGATCCCAAATAGCACAAGGATGGTTTGAGCTCCGTCCAAGCCACCTAAGAGGACAGAGGTCTGCATGGGGAGAACCTCCAGGTCCAGCCTCTTGGGATCCCCGCCTGGTTCCCAGCTTCCTTTGACAGGTTTTCTAGGTGAAATTATTGAAAGTAAGATGAGGTCATGCTGGATTAGGGTGGGCCTGATTCAAATGCCTGCCGCTGCGATTGGAAGGGAAAACAAATACACAGAACACGGTGTGAGGATGAAGGCTGAGACCCAGTGATGTGTCTATCAGCCAACGAACACAGATCGCTGCCCCCAGAACTGGGAAGAGGAAGGAAAGATCTGCCCCTGGAACCTTCAGAGGGAGCATGGCCACACTTTGATTCTGAATTTCTAGGCACCAGAAGTGAAGGAAATTTCTGTTATTTTAAGCCACCGAGTATGTGGTCACTTGTCACAGCAGCCCTTGGACACTCACATATCCTAACTCACCACCTCCTGTTTTTACCAGGGCCTCCTCATCCCCCCAACCTGCCTGTGCTAAAGTACCACCAGCTCAGTGTACGGATCTCAGCACTCACAGTCTTGAACGCCGTCTCTGGGCCAATGTCAGCCACGTTTCTCCTGCCAGCCCGGACCTCTCTCCCCGAACTTCAGACACACAGACCTGCCCAGCTGCTTGACTTCCCTCTTAGACGTCTCAAGGTCGGCTCCACCTTGACTGTTCCAGCCTGAGCTGCTCCCAGGGACCCGCCCTTCTCAGTCCTCTCTAATCCAGGAAACGGCATCTCCCTCCTTCCCCTTGTTCAAGCTGAGAGCTCCAAGTTACCTTGACTTTCTTCTCTCTCTTGCTCACCGTCCAACCCACCCGCAGCACTGGCTACAGAATTCACAGGACCAGGTGCAAAAGGAACGTGTGGGGACCTTTGTTGGACAATGATTAAGAATTTTAAGACGGCAACAGCAGAGGGTTACACTGAGCATGGGGACAGGGTGACTGCAGGGGTCCCACACCCACGAGCCAGCCCTGCCACTGGGAAATCTGGTCTCAAGCATATCCAGAGTCTGACTCTTCCTCACGGCCTCCTCTGAAGCCACCAGGTCTGGGACCTGGGATCTAGGCAGGGGCCTCCTACTTGGTCTCTGCTGCTGCCCCTGATTCCCAAAAACGACAGAACAGCCAGCCCTTTTTTTTTTTTTTCTTTTTTTTCTTTTTTGAGACAGAGTCTTGCTCTGTTGCCCAGGCTGGAGTGCAGTGGTATGATCTTGGCTCGCTGCAAACTCTGCCTCCTGGTTCAAGCAATTCTCCTGCCTCAGCCTCCTGAGCAGCTGAGATTACAGGTGTGCACCACCACACCCGGCTAATTTTGTATTTTTAAGTAGAGACAAGGTTTCACCATGTTGGCAAGGTTGGTTTTGAACGCCTGACCTCAAGTGATCCACCTGCCTCAGCCTCGCAAAGTGCTGGGATTACAAGTATGAGCCACCACACCCTGCCCAGAATGACCATTTTTAAAAACAGGTCCTGTCACATCCCTGCTGTACTCAAAACGCTGCCAAGTCTCCCAACTCATCCAGAGCAAAACCAAACTCCTTCCTGTGGCTCTGAATCCCTACACGACATCCCCGCCCACGCTCTCTGCCCTTGCTCTGGCTGGCTTGGCCACACCGGCCCCCTCGCTGTTCCCCTGCGCCGGCACTTGCGGCTGGCTGGCTGCCAGGTTATGTACCTCCACGCTGTGGGGACAAGTCTGCAACAGCCTATGACCCCTTGGCTGCCGCAGCCTTTGGCGGTTTTGCATCCCTTGGCCCATCCCGGTCATCACTAGCCACAGCCAGGTCCCTGCAGCAGAAGGAAAGTGGCCCTCCCTTGCCTTCACCACATCAGAGACGGAAAGAACTGCATGCAAGGATCCCAGGCTCTGCAGTGAGCCACGAGAGGCTCCTCCTCCGAGACTCCCCTGGAAGACTCCCCTGCCATGCCTCCCCACAGAGGCTGCCGGAAGCTGTTCCCTCAGACTTACCTCAGTGAAGGACGGGACTCGCGCACAAGGCCCTGGGGCCAGAGGTAGTACTGCACGGTGATGACCAGGGCCAGGTAACAGGCAGCCAGGGTGCCTAGGATGCTAATACACAGTGACCATGTCAGGGACTGCGCAGTGGGTGACATGTGCGGTTGATGCACAGGAACAGACGGCGGGATCTGAATCCCAGCTCCACCCTTGACAATGAGGTGCTGGCCAAGCTCTCCATCTCTGCCTCCCTGTCCTCATCTGTACAGGGTGTGCGTGCGGCAGGGCTGGTCTGGGGTCCAGGGGTCAAATGTATAGAGGTTTTTGTTGTTTTGAGACAGAGTCTCACCCTGTCGCCCAGGCTGGAGTGCAGTGGCACAATCTCGGCTCAGTGCAACCTCTGCCTCCCAGGTTCAAGCAATTCTCCTGCCTCAGCCTCCCAAATAACTGGGACTACAGGCACGCACCATGACACCGGGCCAATTTTTGTATTTTCAGCAGAGATGGAGTTTCACCATGTTGGTCAGGCTAGTTTCAAACTGCTGAGCTCAGGTGATCTGCCCACCTCAGCCTCCCAAAGTGTTGGAATTACAGGCGTGACACCGGGCCCAAATGTGTAGAATTTTCAATGGCACCCAGCGCCCTTGGGGATGGCAGCTGTAATATTGTTTCCTTCCCACCAACAAAAGCTAATCAGCCACTCAGCCTGACGCCTAAGGCAGGACGCCAGCAGGCTTGGTCACACTTCAGAAGGGACAAGCCCCCCTGGCTTGGTCCAAGTGGGACGGGAGCCTTGCAGGGTAGAGGCCTGGGGGAGGCTCCAGTTTGCTGCCTGCTGTTTCTACACAATGTCTATTGTTCATACACAACAGGGGAAAGGAAGGCGGCAGAGGGGAATGAATACTGTTGCCAAGCTTTGTTTCTTCAAAAGTATACAGAGCCTTAGCCACAAAAAGAAAACCGTGTGTGTGTGTGTGTGTGTGTGTGTGTGTGGAAACGAGGGGGTGTGTGGAAACGAGGGGGTGTGTGCACGCGGGGGGGGGGCGGGGGGCAAGGAGGTGTGTGCGCCCGGGTGGGGCCAGGGGGGCGTGCGCGCGCGGCGGGGGCAGGGGGCGTGCGCGCGCGGCGGGGGCAGGGGGCGTGTGCGCGCGGGGGGCGTGTGCGCGCGGGGGGCGTGTGCGCGCGGGGGGCGTGTGCGCGCGGGGGTGTACGCACGGGGGGGCGGGCGAGGGGATGTGCGCGCGCGGGGGAGGGGGGTGCGCGCGCGGGGGAGGGGGGTTGCGCGCGCGGGGAGGCGTGCGCAGGCGGGTGCGGGGGGGGGGCTGCGCGCGGGGTGGGGGGCGCGCGGGTAGGTGCGGGTGGGTGTGTTGTGGGGAGGTGTCTCTCTGAGCCCATGTGCAAAAAGTCCAACAATGAAACCGTGAGTAGCACTGATGTTGTTACAGGTCATTTTCTTTTTTTTGGCTCGTCTGTATTTTCCATCGGGAAAACATTTTACTTGCATAATTTCATATTGTTTTCCCCTTCTCCAAATGGGAAGGCCAATCCCCCAGCTCCTCTGACCCCAGATGGACAGAAACCCTGACACAAACACTCAGCAAGGTGGGGGCCCCCACCGGGCAGCATCCCCAGCCCTTACCTTGTATATTTCTGGAAGGCGATCTCCCGTGGGGCGGATAGGGGCAGGATGACCAGCGCGGAGAGCAGGGGCAGGGTGAAGCGCTGGTCTGTGTACCACGGCTGCGGGGCGGGCGGGGTGCCAGACAGGAGGGAGTCACACACTGCCAGAGACACGGGGAGAGCTGAGCCACAGAGCACAAACGCCGTGGGTTCTTGGCTCCTGCCTGGCCCTTCAACCCTGAGTGGGGTTGGACATCCACCCTCAGTCAGCCCCAGGAGCCCAGGGATCAGATGACAAGTGAGATGGAGACAGGTCACGTGCCCCACACAGGAACAAAACCTGACACATGAATTAATTCAACAAATATTCACTGAGCTTCTTTCCCACAGCCAGCACTGCTCCAAGGCCCGAGATGCGGCGATGACCCGACAAGCCATCTACCCTCATGCCTCTTACATTCTGGTGAAAGCCTCTTGTTTTGCTCAGGAACTCAACGGTATCTGGGGTCAAATGGGGGCCTGAAGTAGAGTTTTGGTCACTGTGCAGGCAGCACCAGGCTGCTGTCCATCAGAATAGCAGGTTCCCATGGTTGCAGCAAAACACATGACCCCAAACACAGTGGCTTAGAACCACTTTATTACAACAAGTCATAGCTTGTAGGTAGAGAATTAAGTTCAGGGCCAGGCTGGCCAATCCTTCTCCATATAGGATTGGCTGGGGTTGTTTGGGGGTCTCTGGCTGGCAGTGGGGCTGGTCTGGAGGGCCCTTGATGGCTCCCCCCAACACCTGGTGCCTGGTGGGTACACCCGGGCCTTCCCTGAAGTCTGGGAGTCTCTCCACATGGGCCTTCTAGCAGGTGCCTCCAACTTCTTCCTTGGCAGCTGAGGGATCCCAGAGACAGAGGCAGAAGCTGCCTGTCCTCTTAAAGGCCAGGCCCAGCACTGGCGCAGCGTCCCATTTACCACACACTGTTGGACAAAGCCATACAGGCACACCTAATTCAAAGGCAAGGGACACAAGCTCCACTAACCTCTCCATGGAAAGAATACCAAAGAATCGGGGGCCATTTTTATTCTGCCACAGTGGGATGAATGATTTGGAACCCCTCTAGGAGACAAGACAGATGGGGGAGGGGAAAGCACAGGAGAGTGGGAGGGTGGCTGGAGGTGGGAGCCACTGGGAACCACCTGGGTGGGTGAGGTGGCCCCTGCAACCACTGGAGGTGGGAGGCTGAGCAGCTTGAGATGTCTTCATTCATTTCGGAGGTCGTTGGCACTGAGGTGTCATATATGCTTCTTTGATCTCACTCAACAAGGGGAGCCGTGTGAAAAATGAATGCATGTGAGAACAGCTCATGTGTACAAAATGATGAAGGGGAAGGTTCCACAAGCAGATGGTCACAGCAGCATCCACGTGGGACAGCCAAAGATGCCAAGGGAATGCACACGCCCCAGGACTGCACTGAGATCTTGGGCGGGTTTTAGACCTAGGCAGCGTGGGATGCGGCAGGCCCTTTTGTCTGCATCTGGACCTCCCATAGCCAGGATCCTCAGGGCCAACAGCAGGACTACACCAGCTCCTTCCTAAACCTAGCGTTCTTGGATGCTTGAGATCTCTGGCACCAAAGACACAGCCATTTGTACCTCATGCCATGACTCCCCCAAGCACTCCAACCTCTATCTAGCACTCCCTCTCAGAAGCTTGGCCTTCCCTACAGAGACGCATCCTCAAATATCTAACCAGATATACACAAGAACGCTCTCTCCACCACAGTCAATCCACCCAGACCTGGGGTGGCCCATATCCTCATCTGCCCTCTGACTAGTCAGGGGCCTCTGTTCCCAGTGAGGCTCAGAATCCCTCTTAACACAGCAACACTACCAGTTCACTGGAGTTGAAACTGCAGACGAACTCTACTTGCCACTGGTGAGCAGAATGTTTTTGTGCCCACTTACCCATTAAGAGGTTCAGATACGCCAATCTCACTTCTTTTTGGTATAAGATAGTGTTTACCAAGACACAGCAGCCTTCAATCTCAATAACCCTCCTCCCCAGTCAGGGGCCTTTTGCTTCAAGGATCAAAACACACACAGAACACACACATGGCAAAATGGTAGACTAAATGTCACCCTATCAACAATCACACTCCAATTAGAAGTCTGAACATTCCAATCAGAAGACTGAGACTGTCAAGCTGGATAAAAAGGCAAGACCCTACGATATGCTGCCTACAAGAAATGCATTTTAAAATCCCAAGCCATTCTCAGGCTGGTGTTGCAAAAAGGAATTATAAACACGTTAAAAAACAAACAAACAAAAAACAAAAAACAAAATCCAAGTCACAGTTAGATTCTAAGTAAAAGAATGAAAAGAGAACTAACTTCTATACAAACACTAGTCTTAAGGATGCTAGAGTGGCTACGTTAATAGTAGAGAAGACAGATTTAATACCAGAGATAAAGAATACTTCATAACAATAAAAGGATAGAGTTTCAAAGACCATGAAGCATGAAGCTTGACATAACAGGCTAATCTGCAATTACAGCTGGCAATTTTAACATCCTTTAACATCCTTTTCTTAGGAACAGAACTAAAGATTAATATGGTTGCTATGGGAGATCTAAACACAGCTGTTGACTGCCTTGACCTAATGGACATTGCCAGCACACTGCGCCCAGCAACTGCAGAGTACACATTCTTTGAAGAGCACACAAAATGTTCTCCAAGACAGCCAGACCATGTGCTGGACTACAGAGCAAGTCTCAGTGGATCTCAAAAGACAGAAATGACAGATTCCCTGACCATGATGTGAATTAAGGTAGGAACCATGAAGGAATCGAAAAAACTCCCCAGGTGGCAATTAAACACCACAGCTCTAAACATCTCATGAGTCAAAGAAACCACAGTGAAAATTAGCAAATATTTTACATTTTCCATTCATGAGAAATGAGTCAAATGAAAATGAAAATAGGACATCTCAAAGTTGGTAAGATGCAGCTAAAGCAGTGCTTAGAGGGAAAATCTTAGTTGGGAACTAGAGGCCGGGTCTGCCTGAGGGCTGAGAGCCACAGTCATCCCAAAGTCAAAGGTGTTACTGGTTCTCTCTCAGAAGGAGCTGCTTACTGGTGGCTCCATTTCCTCATCTGTGAAACGACTTATCTCCACTGGACATCCTAACTGCAGCCACAACCTCTCTCATGCACTTGTGTGCCCATGACTCTCACCCCACTGGTGACTATCCATGCTGAGCCTCCCTTCCCCACCATGTTAGGAACAAGAGTGTGGTTTCAGCCTCTGCTGTCCCTCAGGGCCCAGGCCAGTGCCCCATGTCCTGCTCATCAACTGGAAACCCCAAGAGGTCATTAGAGGTCCAGCACCCTGGGCCACCCCAAGTCCCACAGAAGTACTTACGCTTCTCCAGCTGGTCCCCGATCACCCTGAGGAAGGCCACGGAGATCATGAGCAGGTTGACAAGGAAGCAGGCCTCACACAGCTTCCCGATGGCGGGGCCACAGAGCCCCCTGACCACGCCCTGGTAGGTGGCCTGGCCACTGACAGCAGCAGCATAGCCCAGGATGACCAGCCCGCTGACCAGGAAGACCAACGAGACCTGCGGAGCAGGACCTGGAACTGGGGTGTGCCCACAGCCCACCCACCCCCAGTCAACCACCCCTCAGGCACACTCTCCACATGGCTTCTTGTCCACAGACGCCAGGGCTGCTGCCAGCATGGGAGGCGTTCTACCAGCTGTGTCACTGCACCCCCACCCCCCCTCATCCATCCTGAAATGAGAGCTGCAGAGCAGGCTGATTCTGGCAGCCTCGCTGGCTCTAGGCTGTGAACCTGGGAATCTGAGACCATCCTGCCCCAGTCGGACAAGTGATACATCAGAAACCCAGAGTTTGAATTACTCTCCTGAAATTGCCTGGCCTGTGGGTAGAGAGGCAGTAGGCACGGTGGCTTGGAACACGAGGTGGAGCGGGCACAGCTGGGCTCAGGTTCTAACCACCGCTCACCTGCTGTGTGGCATGAGGCAGGCTGGCAACCTCTGCTTTTCCATTTGTGAAAGGGGGGTAGCACTGCCCCCTTGCAGGGCTGCTGTGACACATCAGGACGAACAAGGCCTGTGACACACTCGGCTCAGCACATGAGTGCTCCAGAAATGGTGTTCCGGCTGGGCACAGCGGCTCATGCCTGTAATCCCAGCACTTTCAGAGGCTGAGGTGGGTGGATCACCTGAGGTCAGGAGTTCGAGACCAGCCTGGCCAACATGGAGAAATCCTGTCTACTAAAAATACAAAAATTAGCCGAGCATGGTGGCAGGTGGTGCCTGCAGTCCCAGCTACTCATGAATCTGGGAGGCAGAGGTTGCAGTGAGCCAAAATTGTGCCACTGTACTCCAGCCTGGGGGATAGAGAAAGACTCTGCCTCTAAAAAAACAAAGAAAAAAGAAAAGAAAAGAAAAGAAATGGTGTTCCCTCTATTTCAGCTTAAATTTATTTATTTATTTTGGAGAAGGAATCTAGCTGTCACCCAGGCTGGAGTGCCATGGCATGACCTCAGCTCACTATAACCTCTGCCTGCCAAGTTCAAGCAATTCTGCCTCAGTCTCCCGAGTAGCTGGGACATGCCATCATACCCAGCTAATTTTTTTTTTGTATTTTTAATTATTATTTTTTGAGACGGAGTCTCACTCGGTCGCCCCGGCTGGAGTGCAGTGGCACAATCTCGGCTCACTGCAAGCTCCGCCTCCTGGGTTCAAGCCATTCTCCTGCCTCAGCCTCCTGAGTAGCTGGGACTACAGGCACCCACCACCACACCTGGCTAATTTTTTGTATTTTTTAGTAGAGACGGGGTTTCACAGTGTTAACCAGGATGGTCTCGATCTCCTGACCTCATGATCCGCCCGCCTTGGCATCCCAAAGTGCTGGGATTACAGGTGTGAGCCACCACGCCCGGCCTTTTGTATTTTTAAAATCTTTTTCCGAAATTATAAAAAATTTTCAGGCCAGGTGCTATGGCTCATGCCTGTGATCTTAGCACTTCAGGAGGCCAAGGCGGGCGGATCACCTGAGGTTGGGAGTTTGAGACCAGCCTGGCCAACATGGTGAAACCCCGCCTCTACTAAAAATACAAAACTTAGCCAGGCATGGTGGCACATGCCTGTAATTCCAGCTACTTGGGAGGCTGAGGCAGGAGAATCACTTGAAGCTGAGAGGCAGTTGCAGTGAGCCAAGATCGCGCCGAGCTGCGAGTGGGGACGGAGCGAGACTCTGTCTCGGTGGCGGGCGCCTGTAGTCCCGGCTACTCGGGAGGCTGAGGCAGGAGAATGGCGTAAAAACCCGGGAGGCAGAGCTTGCAGTGAGCTGAGATCCGGCCACTGCACTCCAGCCTGGGCGACACAGCGAGACTCCGTCTCAAAAAAAAAAAAAAAAAAAAAAAAAAAAAATTCAGATGTACAGGAAAGTTGCAAGAATGTTACAGTGAACACCCCCTGTGGGCAACCACCCGACTTCCCCATGACAGCTTGCTGTACTTGCTTTGACTTCTCTACCCTTCCACCCATGCCTCTGTGTGGCCATCCATCTTAATGGATTAGCATTTTGAAGCAAGTTGCAGATCCCGGTGTACGTACCGTGGAATACTCTGGCGTGCCTACCAAGCATTAGAGCTTGATGTTTGTTCGTTCACAGGCCTTTTCTCTTGTGGGGTGAAAATTTACATATAAAAATGCACAAAATCTTAAGTGTATTGCTGGAAGATGTACAGTGCACATGTGCCAGCCAAACCTCTACCCACAGGCAGAACATCACCACACCCTGGACGGTCCCACAAGTCCCCTTTCTGTCTCCTTCCCATCCCCACTGGTCTAGTATTTTCCACCTTTACGTAATTCCCAGCTCCTCCCACTCCACCACGCGTGTGTGATTGATCCGTATCGTGCGCACAAGCAGCTTGCTTCTGTTTTTTGCTAACAGGCCATTGTCTGAATAGATCACAATTAGCCAAGCATGGTGGTTGAGCATTCCACATCTAATCCCTCGAGTCTGTGAATGTGGCTTATTGGAAACAGTTTTTGCAGATGTCCACAAGGAAAACCTAAGTGAAAAACCGTTCTGCCTATGTCATTAAGGATCTTGACGTGAGGTCATCTTGGATCTGGTGGGTCCTCAACCCAATGAGGTGTGTCCTTGTAGAGACAGAGGAGGAGGAGGCAGAGATTGGAGTCATGCGGCCACAAAGCCAAGGAGCACCTGGAGCCACCAGGAGCTGGAAGAGCCTTTGGAGGGAGCGAGGCCCTGCTGACACCTTCATGTCAGACTCCTGACCTCCAGAACTGTGAGAAAATACATTTCCAGTGTTCTAAGCCCTCCTTTTTGTGGTAATGTTATAGCAGCCCCAGGAAACGGACACATCCAATTCTAAAATATTGAGGGATTTCTCCAATGCCCTCTCACCCAGGTTCTAAGCTCCGTGAAGACTGGGCAGTGTCCTTTTTTCTATTTTGCCCCAGAGAAGGACCTGACAAACGCAGACACTCAGAAAACATCTGTGGTTGAAAGGCAGGGGCGCCGGGTGCTGTGGTTCATGCCTGTAATCCCAGCACTTTGGGAGTCCGAGGCGGTGGATCACATGAGGTCAGGAGATCGAGACCATCCTGGCCAACACAGTGAAACCCTATCTCTACTAAAAACACAAAAAACTAGCCAGGCGTAGTAGCATGTGCCTATAGTCCCAGCTACTCGGGAGGGAGGCTGAGGCAGGAGAATCGCTTGAACCTGGGAGGCAGAGGTTGCAGGGAGCCGAGATCACGCCATTGCACTCCAGCCTGGGCAAGAGTGAGACTATCAAAAAAGAAAGAAAGGAAAAAAAAGAAAAAAAAAAGAGGCAGGGGAAGGTGTGGGTGCAGGGAGACTCACGGTGAGCCATCCCTGGAAGATACGGTCACCACAAGAGGGACTGAGCCTCCGGGCAGCAGAACTGCAAGGAGCCCCGGCCACCGTGCCAGACCCAGCCCCTCCATAGGTCCCAAGAGGGGGTTTGTCCATTTTCATCAAATGTCTCCCATCTAAGTACGAATCAGGCCTGACCCTGCTTAGTGAGATCAGATGAGATCGGGTGCATTCAGGGTGGTATGGCCCTAGACTGTTTTCATCAAATGTCACTAAACCTCCAACCCTAATGAGTCAGGCTTCCAACCTCTGCCCACTGACTTCACGTTTAAATGCTCCCCATGCAGAAGCCTCACAAGCTAAGTGGAGGGAAGCAGCCTCCCCCAAATCTTCCGTCGTTCAGTGACATCACCCCAGCCCACCTCCATCTCCCCGGCAGCCCTGGAGGCTGAAGGAACAACTTGGAGTGGCGGGAGCTTGTCAACAGCCAGCCTGGCTCCTCTACTCTGCCATGAGTTTCCACTTATTCATGTCCAGGTTTCCTTCTCAAGTCTGCTGAGCGAAGGGATCTCGAGCTCATCCTAAGCAAAACGAAACAGCCGTTTGCTCAGGGCCAAGTCACAAACGCGGTCTCAGGCCTATTCAGCCCTGCAGGGCCAGCATCTGATTTCAGCAAGATCTGCAGGAGATGCCTGCATGGTGCTCACGGAGCAGGGATCCCCCTTCTCTGGCTCATGGCCATTCCTGCTACCCAGGGATTGGCCACGGCCCTACCCCCAAGCCCCGACTGCCTCACCCTGGGCCTTCTGTGGCTTGAGATCCGGTTTCTCCCTCGTTGCCGTAAGGGCAGCCTTCCTGACGCACTAGTCCCAACACAGGCGTGCCGCCCCCTCACGTGCACCTCAGGAAGCTCTTACCATTTCCAGTGGGGCTCAGTGCAAAGGTCACCTCCTCCGAGAGGCTTCTGACCACACTGTGTTGTATCATCCCCCATCCCCAGAGACACATGACCCTCCCGGCATGATCCACCATCTGAAGCCGATGACATGCATCTTGTCTGACCTCCCGTTAGAACAAAGTTCCATGAGGACAGGGACCGCACTGCCTCGTCCATCCTAGGCCAGGCACGGGGCAGGCGCTCGCCAATGCCAGGGGTGGCATGGGTTACACCCGACACTGCAGTTTCCAAACAGACACGAAGAGCCTCAGGGCACACAGTTGGAACTCAGCCATTATCCACCAGCTGCTATAAAACATGTGAGATAAAACCCGCCAAAGAGCTCACCACAAAATGTAGCAATTCATTCCATCAGCCACGGGGAAAAGCATCTTAGAAAATAAAGCTGTGCTCATGAGTGGCTCTCCCACAGCAAAAAGAGCGCGGCGTCCGCGCTTCCCCAGAAGGGAATCCCGGCTCTGCACCTGGCAGGCAGAAGAGCCGAACATCCGACACCAAACAAGGCTGGCCCGGCTCTGCGTGGGGAGTATGGGGGTGTCACACCAGTTAACGGCTCAATCTGCACACAGCAGTCCAGCTTTGTTTTTGTTTGAGATGGAGTCTCACTTTGTCGCCCAGGCTGGAGTGCAGTGGCACAATCTCAGCTCGCTGCAACCTCTGCGTCTCAAGTTCAAGCGATTCTCCTGACTCAGCCTCCTGAGTAGCTTGGATCATAGGTGCCCACCACCACACCCGGCTAATTTTTTTATTTTCAGTAGAGACAGGGTTTCACCATGTTGGCCAGCCTAGCCTTGAACTCCTGAGCTTAGCTGATCCGTCCACCTTGGCCTCCCAAAGGGCTGTGATTACAGGCGTGGGCCACCATGCCTGGCTCAGCTTTAGTTTTTGAGCTGAGACCAGCAGGCAAGAAAGAGCAGCTGACCAGGCAGGGTGCCCAGAGAGCCTCCTTCCCGGGTGAAATGTCCACTTCACAGACGGAGCTGCGACGCCTCTAGCTCCATCCCAGGAGCTGTGTATCAGACATCACCGGGGCCCATAGGGGATATTCTCGCCCCAGGGCTACAGTGGGATTATCTTCTCCCCTCATTAGCTGAGCAGGATAGCAGTTAAAACCCCGAAGCTATAGCTTACAGGACACGCAACTCCGCAGAAGCAATGCAGAGAACCCCACCCAGAAAAGCCAAAGCCACCTCGTACCCGTCCCCTGGACTCACTTCCCGGGGACTTACCAGCTCCACCAGGAAGGCAGGGACCACGCCGCCCGCTTTGGAGAAGGCCCAGGGGAAGTTGAGCAGGCCAGCTCCCAGCGCGGACTTCATGAGGATGAAGACGGCACCCATTGAGGACAGAGTGGCAGCGGCCGCGGCAGGGTGAGACTTTTCTGGAAGGTCTCTGCTTCCTGGGGTCTGTCCCTCCATGGCTAGAGGCAGCAGAACGGTGGAGAGAAAGCATGACCTTCACGCTTTCTTCCCTCCCTAAGTTCTAGGTATCCTTATTTCTCTCCCCAACTCAGTGAGAGCTCCCTGAGCCGCTCTCGCCCGCTTCCTTGGCAGCGGCTCCCCCTTTCCAAAGGGTGCTGCATGCATCTGCCTGTGACTTCTGGTCCCCCTTCCTCTCCCCCTTTCCCTACCTACATTATTCTCACTCCTGCCCTCCCGCTAGACCCCAAAACCGCCTCACCCCTTCCCCCCTCTCTCTTCTCCCAAACCCCCAACCTTCCTCATCCCCATCAATCCTCTCTCCCCACATTCCCATCCACCTCCTTTGCTTCCAGCCAAACTTCTGTACAGACAGAGCCCCAGTCCCTGGTCCTGACCACCAAATCCAACCTTTAAGGTGCCAGACAGTCCTTGGCTGTTGGGGATGGGACTCAGGCTCACTCCAGGTGGCTCAGCTGCATTTCCTGGGGCCAGAGGGGTGGGAGAAGGAAGATTCTAGTTTGGAGGGGTGGGTGAGTCATTAATTAAAGGAGCCCCAGCTAGTGTGTGTCAGAGTCAGGCCCCTCCACACCTAGGAGGACAGCAACAAGTGGTCAGGGCCATGGGTCCCAAGAATTTGCAGCTTTTGAGACTTCTGACCTGAGCAAGGAAGGCTTACGACTCCCGCCTCTCTCCAGCCCCCTGCAGGCCCGGCCCCGGGGGTGGAGCTTTCTCAGCTGCCCTGGAGGGTGACAGGGAGCTCAGCTAGTAGCAACATGGGGCCGGGGAGCAGGCACCATGATCTCATGGCAGCTTCTGCAGCACCTCCAACCTCAGATGCCTCTCCGAGGCCCCCAGCCCAAGGGAAGGGGTGTGAAAAGCGTACTGAGCCCAGCCTCCTCAGCTGCAGAACAGGCTCCACCGTCTGCAGGTGCTGCCTCCAACGTGGCTTCCTTTACCTCCTCCGCCCAACTCCAGCAGGTGTGCCTGAGAGCTAATCCCATGCACACGAGTCACCCACGGGGCTTGTTGAAAGCTTGGAGGCGGCGGCGGCTGCTGGTCCCTAGGCCACGCTTGAGTAGTGAGACATCTCTCCAAACTGATACGTGGTTAGCTAAGGGGCCAGAATATCCGAGACGGCCCCGTTCCGGAAAATGCTGGCACATGCAGGTCAGATCTGGAATTTGACTGTTTATTCCCGGAACCCAGGCTCCTTCTCACCTGCATTCTTAAACGCCAGTTTGCATCAGAATCCGTCGGAGGGCTTGTTCAAACAGACCACCAGGCCCCAACCCGTGTTTCTGACTGAGCAGCTCCGGGTCGGGGGCGGGGCCGGGGCACCTGCCTTTCTAACGGGTTCCCAGGTGACTCCAATGCTGCTGGTTCGGCCCCTTGTTGAGAAGCACTGCTTTCAGTTAAACATTTTCAATGCCCAGAGTCCCCCGCTGCATCTAATCAGTCCTTATCTGTCCCACACCAGATCATCCCCAAAGGCTTCTTTTTCATGTGGTGTCTAACGGTCTCAACCCCCTGACTCCTGTCACCTTCTGATGAGCTGGCAGGTTCCAACCTCTGTGGCTCACACAACGGCTGCTCCATGAATGCCCAACCATCAGAGTCGGTGGCTGGCTTCTCAGCAGGGGCAAGTAAAGGGAGCCGGGATTGCAGTCCCGGAGTTCGAGGCTGGACAGTGACCCGGATGGCACTGACGCCACTGCTGCTTAAGTGTGCTGCTGAGAACCCGGCCTGGATAAGGTCACGTGGATTCCCAAGCGCGTGTCCCCACTGTTCCCCCCAACTCCCACCCCGCACCAAGCAGGAACTGGGCTCAGGCAGGTGGAGCACGTGGCTCACAGCATCACAGCTGACAAGCAACAAGGCTGGGATTCACCCTGAGTCAGGTTCCTTTCAGAGGCTGCAATGTCCCAGGGCCGCCGGCCCCACAAGGATTCTGACAGTGCCTGAATGAGTGAGTGTGTGAGAGAATGAATGAATGAAAACACAGACGCCAGAAAAGAAAGGAAAGGGAGCGTCGTTTGATTGTTCCCCTGTATTAGGCTCCTGAGGCTGCCAACACAGACTCGGGCTTAGAACAACAGAAAGTTATTCTGTTACGGTCTTGGAGGCCAGAAGCTGGTCAAGGTATAAATGGGGACATGCTCCCTCTGGACGCCATGGAGGGAGGATCCTTCCTGCCTCTTCCAGCTCCTGGGGGCTCAGGCACTCCCTGGCTTGTGACTGCATCGCTGCCGTCTCTGCCAGCATCATCTTCCCACGCTTTCTCCTCTGTCTTCTCTTTTCAGGAAGGCCCACCCGGATAATCCAACATGATCCCATGTCAAGATCCTTAATTATATCTGCAAAGACCCTTTTTCCAAATAAGGTAACAGTCACAGGCTCCAGGACATGGCATAAATATGTCTACTGGGGGCCACCATCCAGCCCATTACACCCCTCACATCTGAGATCTGAGTTCTCATCAGTCATTCAACAAACACTGATTGACTGAGCACCTACTGTATGCAGGCACTGGAGCTCAAAGGTGAAAGAGAAGGCTCCTCCAGAGAAGAGGACGGTCCCGTGGGGAGCTCACGATGAGACAAGCCACCCCAGCCCAATGGGAGAAGGACTGGACTATGATACCCGAGAATGAAGGTGAATCTGGAGGGGCTTCCTGGAGGTGTGGGGGCTGAGGGAATGTCTGTGCACCATTGGTGAAGGGCTGGGAGGATGTTCTGGGAAGTGGAGACTCCAGTGGCAGGTGCATGAGCCAGTGCTCCCGGGAAGGGCCCTAGGGGACTGGGGTTCCCTAGGATAGAGACCTACGTCAGCGCTGAGCTGGGAAAAGGCTTAAACTCTGTGTCTCACTTGCTGGAGGGTCACTAAACCGTGTGGAGATGGCACTGGACACAGCAGGGAAGGCGGGGGCTGCGGGTGACACTGCAGGCAGGGCCTGTGCACTGCCCAGGCTGCAAGAGGGCGGGGGCCACACGGAGTATTCACACAGCTCTCCCCGGCCTGCCACAGAGGCCAAGTCAGTCCCACTCCCCCCACATCCAGCCTCCTGAGAAAGGAGATAAAGGGCGGCTGGGGGCTTTGTAGTCCTTAATCTCCACTTGGGGCTGGGGGGACACTTCCCTGTCCCTGCCGGTGGGTCCCTCATTAGTGGTCCATTAACGTGCATGACTTAGAAATTGGCCACTGGGCTGTGAAATTCCAGGCAATGGGGAAAACCTCTTAATTCGGAGGAGCTTTGATATCCACTCTCTGCCGGCCTCACAGGGCTGCGTGACCTTTCCCTGCTGGGCCCCATCTGCAGCCGGTGGGCCGGCAGGCGGGCGGCCACCCTCTGCTTAGTCGGCCCAGCCCACCCAGACCTGACACTGGCTCCAGTGCAGCAGGAGCACAAGGAGGCCACACAGAGGTGCCCGTGTGGATGCTGCCGGCCGTGGCCCACACTGCACCCTGCACAGGAAAGCCCAGCACGGGGTGGCCTCTCTCCCCTGTGGTGTGGGGACCCACCCCACCAAGGGAGCTCCTGAGGATCCCTCCCTTCCTCCCTCAGAGTCTGTGTCAGGTGACAGGCTTAGGAACTTTCACAACAAAGTGGACTCTGATAGTTTCCCCAGACCTTTCTGTTCATGTCTGATAGAAAATTCTGGCTCACACAGAGGCAGGCGGATCACCTGAGATCAGGAGTTCAAGGCCAACCTGGCCAACATGGCGAAACTCCTGTCTCTACTAAAACGACAAATATTAGCTGGGCGTGGTGGCGGGCACCTGTAATCCCAGCTACTCAGAAGGCTGAGGCAGGAGAATCACCTGAACCTGGGAGGTGGAGGTTGCAGTAAGCCGAGATCGTACCATTGCACTCTAGGCAGGGCGACAAGAGTGAAACTCCATCTCAAAAACAAAAAACAAAACAAAAACAAACCCAGAAAATTCCAGAGAACAGACAAGGGCAGGCCTCAGGAGCTAGCCGGCTGCAGCACATGGTATCGTCACCCTGGCTCTGGGGTCTCAGGCCCGAGCCTCCCTCGGGTCACCTGCGAAATGGGAGGACACAGGCACCTGCTCTCTGGGGCCGTCAGGAGGGCCCGTGGAAGGTGCGCACAGCCCGGGAGTGGCACGTGGCAGCTGCTGAGCTTGGAAAGGAAGTGTGTGCCATACTCCATTATCCAAATTTCCGTTTTCACTTGGGCCCAATTCGGAGCTTCTAGAACAGAATCCTGAACCTTAGCTATGCAAGAACTGCCTTGGGACTTTTCACACTCCAGATGCCAGGCACACCCGCAAAGCTGCACATTAAACTGGCCCGGGGTGGCACTAGGCATCAGAATTTTTTTTTTTTTTTTTTTGAGACAAGAGTCTCACTCTGTTGCCCGGGCTGGAGTGCAGTGGCACCATCTCGACTCACTGCAGCCTCTGCCTCCCGGGTTCAAGCCATTCCCCTGCCTCAGCCTCCCAAGTAGCTGGGATTGCAGATGTGCACCACCATGCCCAGCTAATTTTTGTATTTTTGGTAAAGATGTGATTTCACCATGTTGGCCAGGCTGGTCTCGAACTCCGGACTTCAGGTGATCTGCCCGCTTCGGCCTCCCAAAGTGCTGGGATTATGGGCAGTCAGAATTTCTACGAACCTCCCTCAGGAGGGTCTACCGTGCTGTGAGGGTAGAAAACCGTTTTTAGGGCCTCCCGCTGACCCTGCTGTCCCCGAGACTGAAGCCCCTCCTTTCTCCGAAGCTCTCAGCCCCGGGCCTGGCCCGCCAAGGCTGCTTAGTAAGCAGCTCAGCAAGCCCAGTATGTTGGAGCAGAGCTGGCGTCTACCTTCTCAGATGGCAGAGGGACCCCACCTGCAGCAATTGCCAGAGACCCAAAGTCCTGGGATGGGAGACAGATGTCACAGGCCCAAAGTCCTGGGATGGGAGACAGATGTCACAGGCCCAAAGTCCTGGGATGGGAGACAGATGTCACAAGGATAGAGAAACCGTTTGTGGTCGGTGAAATGATGGCCTCAAAGGTGTCCTCATCCCAACCTCCAGGCCCTGTATGTTACCCCACATGGCAAAAAGGGGCATCACAGATGAGATCGGGGACCTTGTGGGGAGGGACCCTGGGCTACCCAGGTGGGCTCTGTATGTAATCAGTGTCCTTCTAACACGGATGCAGGAGGGGCCAGAGGTCAGAGAGGAGACAGTGGCGTGGAGACAGCAGCAGAGGCTACATGGGTGTGCTTGGAGGAGGGAGGAGGGGCCACTGGATGCTGGCAAAGGCAGGGAAATGGGTTGTCACCCCGGGCTTCAGGAAGGAAGCAGCCCTGCCAACACCTTGATTTTAGGCCAGTGAGCCTGAATTTGCACTTCCAACCTCTGGAACCGTAGGAGCATAAATATGTTTTAAGCCACTGAATTTGTGGTAGTTTGTCCAGGTGGCCGTAGGACCCACACACACCCGCATCCTGAATTCCGATCCTTGAGCAGCTCTGAGAGGACAAGCTGGCGGGCTCTGCATCCTGAATTCCGACCCTTGGGCAGCTCTGAGGACAGGCCTATGGGCTCCCTCTGGGCTCAGCAGCAGAAGCTAGGTCCCTCAGGAGACACAGTCACAGGGCACAGGCCTTGTCACATCCTGCAGTCCCCGCCTGGGGCCTGTCTCCAGAGCTGCAGTCAGGGGGTGAACTGTGGGAGTGAAAGCAAGAATCCTTCAGGCTCACTCTCCTCCTGCCACTGTGTCCAATGGAGAAAACACAGGGGGTGCAGCGGGGGTCGGTCAGCAGCCAACACGGGCCGGGGGCAGAGGGCAGGGAGGAGGGCATGGTGCCAGGGCTGAGCCCACAGGGTCTTCGTCCATGGGGTTCTGACCCCTTGTCCACACTGACACTGGGGGTCAGAAGGGCACAAGAACCTCTTCCAGGTTCTAAGCCAGGGCTCCCAAGGGGGCCGCCTGTCGACAAGAATCTCCTGCGGAGGGAGCGTGTGTGTTAAGAGTTAACATGACATAAAATTCACTTTAACTCCATCTGGGGCTTACCATTTTAGAGTGTGCAGTCCAGTGGCTTTAAGTACTCACAATGTTGTGCCAGTATCACCACTATTTCATTCCAGAACATTTTCAACAGCCCCAAAGGCACATCCCTTCCCCCAGCTCCTGGCAACCACTGATCAACTTCCTGTTTTTGTGCAATCTGTTTACTGTGGATATTTCATCATACATGATGTGGCCTTCTGTGTCTGGCTTCTTTTACTCAGCATGTTCTTGGGGTTCCCTCACTTGGGAGCATGTGTGACAACTTCGTTTCTTTTTATGGCCGTGTTCAATGGCATGGAGAGGCC